TCAAATCCCAGCCACGGCGCCACCTGCCTGGAGTTTGCATGTTCTCCCTGTGGTTGCGTGGGTTTCCTCCGGGTACTCCGGTTTCCTCCCACACTCCAAAGACATGCTGGTAGGTGAATTGGATCCTGTCTAAATTGGCCCTAGCATGTGTATGTATGAATGTGAGTTAGGGACTTTAGATTGTACATCCCTTGAGGGTTAGGGACTGATGTGAATGTACAATATACAGTTGCAAGAAAAAGTATGTGAACCCCTTGGGATTACGTGGAGTTGTGCATGAATTGGGCATAAAATGTGCTCTGAACGTCATCTAAGTCACAACAATAGAAGAACACAGTCTGCTGAACATAATACTACACAAACATAAGATGTTGCCATGGTTTAATTGCACATAACATGTAAACATTCACAGTGCAGGGAGGAAAAAGTATGTGAAGCCCTAGCTTAATGACTTCTCCCAGAGCTAATTGGAGCCAGGAGTGAGCCAACCTTGACTCCAATCAGTGTGATGATATTGGATGTGTTGCTGACAGCTGTCCTGCCCTTAAAAAACACACACTGTTTTGGGTTTATTGGTTTCAAGAAGCACTGTCTGATGTGAACCATGCCTCGCAGAAAAGAGCTCTCAGAAGACCTACGATCAAGAATAGTTGACTTGCATGAAGCTGGAAAGGGTTACAAAAGTATCTCCAAAAGCCTTGATGTTCATGTGTCCACGGTAAGACAGACTGTCTACAAATGGAGAAAGTTTAGCACTGTTGCTACTCTCCCTAGGCGCGGTCGTCCTGTACAAATGACTGCAAGAGCACAGCGCAGAATGCTGCATGAGGTAAAGAAGAATCCCAGAGTGTCAGCTAAAGACCTACAGAAATCTCTGGCACATGCTAACATTTTTGTTGACACATCTACAATAAGGAAAACATTAAACAAGAATGGAGTACATGAGAGGACACCACGGAGGAAGCCATTGCTGTCCAAAAAGAATATTGCAGCATGTTTGAAGTTTGCAAAAGAGCACCTGGATGTTCCACAGCACTACTGGCAAAATATACTGTGGACAGATGAAACGAAGATTGAGTTGTTTGAGAAGAACACACAACACTATGTGTGGAGAAAAAAAGGCACAGCACACCAACATCAAAACCTCATCCCCACTGTAAAACATGGCGGAGGGAGCATCATGGTTTGGGGCTGCTTTGCTGCCTCAGGGCCTGGACGGATTGTTGTCATTGAGGGAAAATGAATTCCAGAGTTTATCAAGACATTCTGCAGGAAAACGTACGACCATCTGTCCGCCAACTGAAGCTCCGCAGAGGATGGGTGATGCAACAGGACAATGACCCAAAGCATACAAGTAATTCAACAAAACAATGGCTGCAACAGCACAGAATACGCCTTCTGGAGTGGCCCAGTTAGAGTCCTGACCTCAACCCGATTGAAATGCTGTGGCATGACCTTAAGAGAGCGATTCACACCAGACATCCCAAGAATATTGCTACACTGAAACAGTTTTGTGAAAAAGAGTGGTCCAAAATTACTCCAGATCGTTGTGCAGGTCTGATCTGCAACTACAGGAAACGTTTGGTTGAGGTTATTGCTGCCAAAGGAGGGTCAACCAGTTATTAAGTCCAAAGGTTCACATACTTTTTCTTCCCTGCACTGTGAATGTTTACATGTTATGTGCAGTTAAACCATGGCAACATCTAATGTTTGTGTAGTATTATGTTCAGCAGACTGTGTTCTTCTATTGTTGTGACTTAGATGACGTTCAGAGCACATTTTATGCCCAATTCATGCAAAACTCCACGTAATCCCAAGGGGTTCACATACTTTTTCTTGCAACTGTATATATGTAAAGCACTGCGTAAACTGACAGCGCTATATAAGTACCTGAAATAAATAAATAAATATACCACCTGCCTAAACATTTTTGCTGACAAAGTACACCTCTTCATGGAAACAGTATTCCCTGATGGCTGTGGCCTCCTTTGGCAGTATAATGTGCCCTGCCGCAAAAATGGTTTGAGAAACCATTGAGGCCTCCAAATTCTCCAGATCGCCATCCAATCAAGAATCTATAGGATGTGCTGGAAAAACAAGTCAGATTCATGGAGGCCCCACCTCGCAACTTACAGAATTTAACCCCTTCACGCCGACATAACACAAATATGCAGCCTCACAGAACTGGGCTTTTTTCCATGGGGCCGCATATTTCCACACCTGTCTTTGTGCTGGGAGCACCCTGCACAGTGTGCTCCCAGTACAAAGACCGGGGTGTCACTGAGAGCCCCGAGTCCCGTTCTAACGATCGGGATCCGGGACTCCCTATTCTGGGTTACATGATCGCTGTCCTAGCCTCTGATTGGCTATCACAGTGATCTGTTTTTTTTCTCTATGAATGGAGGAGAGAGATACATTATCTCTCTCTCTCTCTCTCTTTGCATAGAGGAAAAAAACCCAAATTGTTTGTTAAAAAAAAAGATACATAAATATAAAAAAATTAAAGAGTCCCATAAGTGCAGTACAAGCTGGTGTGGTGGTGAGCACAAGTAGCATCCCGCAGCTAACAAGAATTCGCACACAGGCCCGTAGAGCCCATAGTGTCCTTCCGGATGTGCTTGCAAATCCTGATTGGCAGTCCATAAATTCTGCAGCACCCGTACTTCCCCCTTTCACTGCTCTACCCAGAATTCAGTTGGAAACAGCAAATGTAACTACTCCCCTTGATTTTTTGGAGCTGTTTTTCACAGAAGATCTGTTTGCATTGATTGTGGATCAAAGCAATTTATATGCACAACAGTTTTATTGCCGCTAACCCAAATTCAAACCTTGCCAGACCATTTGCATGAAAACATATTACAATTTCCGAATTTTAAGTTTATTTGGGTCTAACCCTCAACATGGGCATTACTAAAAAAAAATAATTGTAGTTGTATTGGTCCACAGACCCGATTCATCATATGCCCATGTTCTCTGCTGCCATGGCCAGGCATAGATATATAGATATAATGCGATTTATGCATTTCAATGACATCTCACTCTGTCGTCCTTGGGGTAACCCTGAATTTGACCGTCTCCTCAAAATTCGGCCCCTCGTAAATCACCTAAACCAAAAATTTGCATACGTCTATACTCTCGAGCAAAACATCTGTGTTGATGAGTCCTCATTAATTTTTCTGTCCGCCTTGCATTCAAACAATTTCTCCCCAACGAGCATGTCAGATATGGGGTCACGATGTATAAGACTTGTGAGAGGGCAACAGGCTATACATACAGGTTTCGGATTTATGAGGGAAAAGATAGTCACATGGAGCTCCCCAGATGTCCAGACTACATGGGGATCAGTGGCAAGATAGTTTGGGACCTGGTGTCATCATTTTTTGATATTGGGTACCACTGATATGTGGACAATTTTTATTCAAGCCTGCCACTATTTAGACATTTGTACAATCTTGGAATTGGTGCCTTTTTTCACCCTGTGACCTAATCACTGGGGCCTCCCCAATGGCTTGTAAATACCTGTCATAGAAAGGGGGAAAAAAGCCTGCTTGATAAATGATAAATTGCTCGCAGTAAAGTGAAAGGACAAACGGGATATTTTCATCCTGTCTTCCATTCACGCAGACGCGGCCATCCAACTTGCCATGGCAGCTGGTGTTGTTGAGAAACCCCATCTGTGTCCATGACTATAACCTTAAAATGGGAGGGGTGGACTTCGACGACCAGATGATGAAGCCGTACTTAGTTTCCCGAAAAGCCAGACACTGGTACAAAAAAGTGTCTGTTCATTTCAATTGACTCTATATAATGCTTTTGTGCTTTACAAAGTAACTGGACGTAGTGGATCCTTCCTAAAATTCCAGGAAGAGATCATCACAGCCCTTTTGTATCCAGAAAGTGCTATGGCCCAAACTCCCAACCCAGATGCAGTTAGCCGGCTGCATGAGAGGCATTTTCCCGATGCAGATGCCATTCCTGGTACCCCAACCGAAAGGACACCTCAAAGAAGATGTTGTGCGTGTAGTAGACACGGAATTAGGCATCACACCTGCTTTTTTTGTCCCTCCTGTCATGGCCAACCTGGTCTCTGCCTCAAGGACTGCTTCCATTGCTACCACACACTAGTAGAATATTAGTATAGGGTGCAGCACAGTTCAGGGTACATATTTGCACAGGGCCCGAAAGATGTTAGGTAGTCAGGAAATTTGCTATCGCATTTTGAGAGACCCCAATATCTGTTTGTCACAGTTAAAAAAAAAATTTAAAATAAAACATGAAAATTAAAAGTACAAAAAGAAAATTAAACATAGTTTAATATACAAAATAGTTGTAGTTTTTGTTGTTGTCAAATTACTGTTATACTGTTATGGTTTTACTGTTACTTTTGTATTGTTACTGTTTTATTGTTAACCATTGCTGTTTTATTTGCAGGAAATGCCATTCAGCTGCAGCACTGATATGTTTATTCTGATTGCAACAGGGTCTTGCTCTCAGAATATACATAAGTAAGTGTGTGCAGCGCTGTTGAAGGAGATTTTTCATCCGCAGTTCAAAAAGAGCATATATGCTCAAGCATGGGGGCCTGGGGTGGCCAGCGGGTGGATGGCCCCTATGCTTCAGCATATATTTTTCAAAATAATTTTGGCAAAGATTCCTTCATCCACATCGACCAATGTGAACAGAGGAATCTGTTAGGTTCTTTTTTTTCGTTCAGCCCACGAGCCAAATTACAAAAAAAGAAAGTTTCATGTGTGCCCACCATTAAAAGTGGGTGGATGCAGGGAGGTACCGTATTTTTCGCTCCATAAGACGCACCTGACCATAAAACACACCTAGGTTTTAGAGGCAGAAAATAGGAAAAAAAATATTCTGAACCAATGGACTGCAGACATAGTACAGGAGATGACCAGAGACTGCGGACATAGTACAGGAGATGACCAGAGACTGCGGACATAGTACAGGAGATGACCAGAGACTGCGGACATAGTACAGGAGATGACCAGAGACTGCGGCCACAGTACAGGAGATGACCAGAGACTGCGGCAGTACAGGAGATGACCAGAGACTGCGGCCACAGTACAGGAGATGACCAGAGACTGCGGACACAGTAAAGGAGATGACCAGAGACTGCGGCCACAGTACAGGGGATGACCAGAAACTGCGGACACAGTACAGGAGATGACCAGAGACTGCGGACACAGTACAGGAGATGACCAGAGACTGCGGACACAGTACAGGAGATGACTGCTGACCTTTGGGGAGGGGGGGGGGGGGAGAGCGGGTACCTGAATGTGACAGGTACCCGCTCTTACTTCCGCGGAGTTGTTCTTTGATTAGTGTCCACTCTGCAGCGGGACCTTACCTGTTCCTCTATCCAGCACGCTGTCTTCCCGGCTTGACAGCCGGGTGCCCAGTGCGCATGAGCGAGAAGCGCTGCACTTTGTGATTGGTCCGGCGGCTTCTGGGACCTGCCATGTGTCCCAGGTGCCGCCTTACCATGCACAAAGCGCACCTCTTTTTGCGCACTTGGCACCTGGCTGTCAAGCCGAGCGCCCACACTACAGAAGCCAGGAAGACAGCGCGCCGCTTGGATAGAGGAACAGGTAAGGTCCCGCTGCAGAGCTGAGTGGCCGGCCCGGTATTCTGACACGGCGGCGGTGGAAATACTGGACCGGCCACTCCATATTCGCTCCATAAGACGCACTGACATTTCCCCCCCTTTTTTTGGGGGAAAAAAGTGCGTCTTATGGAGCGAAAAATACAGTATATTCTAATGGTGAGCATACCACACACTTTTTCTGGCAGAGATTTCTTCTCTTTGTTTCATTCAGCCTACAGGCTGCATAAAAAAAACGGCCTCCCCGCACCCTGCTTGTGTGCGTTCCCTGGGAGCACGCAGCACCGTGAACCGGTGCCCGCTGTGTCCTCCGGAGACATAAAACATTGATCTGTACGAGGTCCCGATCATGTGATCGCTAATTGGCCAATCAGTGATCACATGCAAAGTAGTAAGCAAGATGTCACTTCTGACATCATTGCTTACTACGTGTGAAATCTGTGAATAATCACCGAGGTCCCATGGTACAAGGCTATTCACAACAGCCTTGTACCATGTGACAAGCTGTGACCAATCACAGCTCACTCAGTAGTTCTCAATGGCTGCAAGAATGCAGACAGAGAGAAAGAGAAATGATTGCTTTTACATCCTTTATGGGTGTAAAAGCAATCTCTACAAAAAAAAAAAATCTTCATCACCCCCCACAAGTAGTACAGTGTCACCATAGTGACACTGTAGTGCTAGGGTGACAGTATGTAAAAAAAATAAATAAATAATATAAAAAAAATAAAATAAAAATGTAAAAAAAAAATGTTTAAAAATTATAATTTTGGTTATAAACAAATTTGGCTTATTTTTTTTTTTTACTAAAAAGATAAAGGAATACAGTTTGGCCAGGATTTATGATGAAATATTATTCATATGCAAAATGTTATAAGAAGAACACTTTTTTTTCAAACTTTTTGGACTTTTTCATTTACATAGCAAAAAAAATTAAAATCCCAGCGGTGAATAAATACCACCAAAATAAAGTTTTATCTGTCTCAAAAAAATGGTAAAAAATTCATATGGGTACAGTGTTGCATGACCGCGCAATTGTCATTCAAAGTGTGATAGCGCTGAAAACTCAAAATTGCCCTGGACAGGAAGGGGGTAAAAGTGCCCAGACAGGAAGTGGTTAAGTAGATATAAGAAGGTAAATAGTTATTTTCTGTCCAATACCTCCTGGAGTTGGTAACAAAGTGTAGCAGAACAATGAGTGGTGCCTGCAGTAGGTCCCAATACAGTATGTGGTCAGATGACAGTCTGGATACTGCTGGATGCTATGGAGGCTCAGATTGGAACTTGTGTAGAATGGTGGTACACAGATGAAGCACAGTAACTCGTAGATGGAGAAATCAAAAAACATAGTCAAAATGAGCCAGCAACAACTGGTAGTAAAGAAAGCAATTCGGAAGGCAGAAGCATGATCATATGCCAGACCAGTGTCAATATCAGAAAGGCAGCAGAAGTACAAAAGCTGGCAGAGGTTAAAGTCAGGACATAAGCCAAGGCCATCAACAGATCAGGATAAAGCACAGTCAGGAGGCAAGCAGGGTCAAACACAGAATAACAGGATGCAGGTCTGATCATGAGCCACCGAAGCTGATGACCACTCAACAATTTTCCTTAGTTCTGTGCTGTACTTTAAATAAGCCTTTGAGTGCAAAAGCCAGTGCTGGATGTGCACTCTAATTCAAAGTAATGCGTAGTGGCATTAGTGACCCACTCAGATGCTTGCACAGCCTTGATTCTATGTAATGGTCCACAAGCAGCATTATGCACTCTTCGGGCATGGTCATATACTCAATCTTCCTTACCAATGGCTTCATATAAAACTAAAGAAAGGAGTTGCTTTAATTACAAAGTCCTTAGAAAATGTGAGATTTAGTAAAGGAATAAAATCACCAATATCAGTCAAGATCACAATATGTACAGTAGTACTTTTTTTAAAATAAGGGATTTTTATTAATGTCTAAATTATCAATTGTTTTCTTGCACCAAAATTTGGTGATGTGCAACCAGACCCTGCCCAGCTTTAGACAGTTTTTATATACAGACTCAGAATAATATTTAAAAACTACCAGTGTGCAAATGTCTGCAGTGTTCTAATGCTAATCTGTAATTATAATTTTCATTTGAAATAATGTGCTTTCTGGATTCACGTTGCCTGTCACCTGACTTTGTTTGCTGCTACTCCATCATCTTCCCATTTTAAAACGGACTCAATGCAACTGGCATAACCATGGATCTGTTTGCTTGTTTTGCATCTAATGTCCTTTTATTTTGCACTGGTTGTCTGCATAAAACTTCAGCTTTCTCAGCTGCGGGAGAGAAAATCTCAACATTTTTTTCTCAATATAGACTGAATAATGGATTAACATTTGAAGAGGTATCAGAGTTATGCTACTCCAAACATAAAAATACAAATTAATTCCAGAAAGAGCCTTGCTAGCAGATGCTGATCATATGTGGATGCTTGCTTTTGAAGAATAAACCATGAACATAATTTAAAGATTTTTTTTCATCAGGGTGGTGTTAAATTATAAAGTTACTAGTTCAATAAATTAAGATACATGGCATGGCATAAAAGAACAGAAAGGCTCTACAACAACTCAAATTAATATAAAAATGTACTTGTAAACGCCCAATTATGATAACCAATAATATTAAAGTCCTGTAGTTAACGATCATGGTGCAGTGTTAAGCAGCTCATGATTAGGGATTCCAGTGGTAAAAAATTTTCAATACAACTCACTATTGCTTGCAATTAGACAGTGAAGCAACAACAAACTATTTTGAGTGTCAATGACTATACTGCTTGGGACATACTGTATACTGGGTGACATGATAGAGACAAGTATAGACTTTTGTGAAAATGTCCAGTTGGCTAAAAGCCTTTTTTTCAGCATCTGGGTTATGCCAAGGTTTGTCCTTCAAGGTTGATCCCCGAGTGCACTCTCTCAAATAAATTTGTGTAAAACATTCCTAAAATATGTCAATAGGATATGCCTAACAAACAAAGGAATCCACATTTTGAAATTATTTGGTGACCCATTGTGCAGATAAACCCTAATGTTCTGGAGTTCTGTGATTCTGAATAATATACCCCATATTTAGTAATAATAATTTAATTATAATAAGAATTCATACAAATTCGTATTAACTCCACTCCTCATTAATGGATTCATTCAAAGCGGGAAAAGCTTGGATGTTATATAATAAACCATTTTCTTCATGACATTACTGTATAAAACAACGAGAGGGATATGTATAAATACAGATGGTTTTCATTAACCTAACTATAATCATGTAACTAGATCACTCTCATGTTTTGGCATAGACTTTTCTCTACGTCCTAATTGTTTGCTGCTAGTCTCAGTCTCTGCCTGTTATACACCTCTGTGTTAATGAACTTGCCCTAACCACTGATTCTGAATCTGCTTGTCTCTTTGGGTTGAATCTGTTTCCTGTGTACAATGTCAGCACCTTACCACTCCTCATGTGGTGGCTGCATTTTTTTTCAGGCTTTATTTCCTGTATTTTCACCTGTTGATTCTGGAAATAAAACACATTCTGTCCTTGAGTGACAACTTACTGCACTGCAGTGCAGGGGCAGCATTATCACCCTAGGGTGCCCTTCTAATTTGGACTGCAGACATCTCCTCCTGTCCTCCCACAAGGTCTTTTTCACTGCCCATTCCTTTGCTGTGTTCCCCAGCCACTGCGGGGGGACAGACTGACTGTCAGGGCTCCAGGGTATGACCAGAGGTATGTGAACTGACGCAGGGAAACGCAGGCTTCAGATATGTTATAAACAATATAATTTATTAACACTAACAATACATAAACGCAGTGCAATACTAAAACATAACACAGTGCAAACGAACCAAACCAAACCACCCACAGATAACAATACATACAATGCAAGCGTCGTCAGGTAGGCCGGGTCAATAACAATCGGGCAGGTAGGAACAGGAGGAGCAGGCAGAGAGTAGTCAGGTCACGAGCCGGGAACAACAACCAACGGGCAGGTAGGTACAGGGGGTCAGGCAGAGAATGGTCGGGGTCACAAGCCAGGGATCAAACAGGAGAAGTCAGCAGAGGTCCGGATCAGGCAGGGTCGGCAGCGAGTCAGTCAGGCAGGAACAGGAACAGGAATGCAGGTAACAAGATACAGGGGCCCAGAGAAAAAACACACACCAAGGCACAGACTGCAGGTCTGGCCATCCCTTAAATACACCTGTAATCAGCCTCAGGTGTCTTGGCTGACTGCAGGGTTGAGTCTCTGATTGCTGAGAGCACCCGCTGGCCAGCCCTGGTACTGCAGCCCACAAGGCAGGTGAGTCCCACCATTATTGGCAAGTCCATTCCTGACACTGACATTCTGTCTTCATGCTGGCTTTACCATCGGCTTTCTTTCAGGATGCCAAGCAGGAGATCGGTGAACTTGGATTTCTAGTTGATCTCAGTGCTGAGCCAAGTTCAGTATTACAAAGTGTTGAGAAGTAGCAGAGGAAAATGTTAAAGTGGGTGTAAACTCCCTTGGTTGATTTTTACCTATAGGTAAGCCTATAATAAGGCTTACCTATAGGTACAGTAAATATCTCCTAAACGTGTATCATTTATGAAATATTTACTGTAGAAGCGGTCACCGGTGCATGTAGTTTGAACAAACGGCATACCCATGCCATTCCTTCAGAGCCCTATGCCGCAATCAGTGACTCCTGTGTGCATGTGTCAGCTATATTTGCTGTATACTGCTGAAGCCTGTGAACCGAAAGGAAGACTGGGTGAAGATGGAGACACCTACAGTGGTGACAGAACACCACTGGAGAGCTTCATTTTCAGGTAAGTCTGTCATAATGTGC